ACGCTGTTCTGGCGAGCTAAGAAAATGTTTATCTCCCTGAGCTTGGCCTTCATAATTCCATCCCATCACAGAACCCAACCTTCTTCAACAAACAAAAGTTTAGCGAATGGGTATGAACAACCTAACTTACCTTCACAATTATCCGTTGTTCTACTACTGTTGCTTTGGCAATCTACCTGAAAATTAAGTCAGGAAGAACATTTGGATTACCACAAATACTCTGTTAAGGGATACTCTCCATCATTCCTTGTGTCTTAATATTAGATGATAATGGGAAGTGAGAAGTGAGCACAACAGTCTCATTCTGAGATGACTAAAAACAAATGAAATTAAATCAGAGCATCCACCTAACGTGTAGGGTTTTTGCTGCTGCAGGCAATAACCCCTGAACATCACCCAAACTTACAGAAGCCGGGGGGGGGGCGGGGGAGGGACATGTGTTAATCTACCAATCAGGCAACATTCTATTCCTCATCCTTACATTCCATTAAAGTCTTCCTTATCCTCAAACACATGATTTTTCTGTTCTGAGTTTGTTCATGAAAAGCTGCTAAAAAGTTTTCTTTTTCTTTTTTTTTAGTCACAATACCTCTTTCAGGAGGCGAAGCAATGAATTTTTTACAGACATTTCTTCTCTCACTTCTTCTTTAGACAGCTTTTTATGGTCTCTGCATCGATGGGGCTTGAGATTCATGTCTGGATATAGTTTGCTTTGAATGCTTTTAAACACCACGCCCAGTGCCCTGGGGAGAATGCCACTGTCTTCATCTGTACCTGGCATATAGAATTTAAGACTTAGGCAGAATTCCATGCTGTTGGAGCAGAGGTAAAGAAAACCTGACCTTTCTGAACTGTGGATATGTTGAATGAGTGTCATCATCCCCAGTCTGTTGCTGTCCAGATATGCTGGACCCTAACCTCTGGAACTGCTGGCCAAAGAAATCCAAAAAATCTGGTGGACCCCAGGCTGCAGAAGGCTGATTTGGAGCCATCCTTCAAGTAAACACAATACAGTCTGACAACAGACAGCCATTATGGACTTACTTTGAGTTATAAACTGACAAAAAGCACCAAGTGTTCTTCCTGCTCAGTCCATATAATTCATCACAGCAGTGAGTCCTACTTGCATTCAGTGGGACTTACTTCCAGATTATATGTATTGGTAATTACTTTGCCAGTAAAAACAAAAGCAATGGAAAGCATTCTATAAACTCAACTCGTTCACTAGTGTCAGACCATTTATACAAATACAGAAAATGCTTCCTTTTTCTCCTCCCCCTACCCTATCCTATTGAAAAATACTTAGAAGCCCTGGGACAGCTATTCTAGCTATTTTCACTTTCCTTGACCAAATGTATCAAAATTGACAAGGCCAACTTGGGGAATGGAACATACCGATGGGCAGCCTACAGTAGGCTGCCCATCGGTATGTTTCATTCCCCAAGTTGATAAAGCTAAAAGCTAAAGCTAAAAAAGTCACTTTTCCGTGAGATGGGAGGCTATACAAATTTGATAAATCAATCAATAAATGATGATCATTTGCTTCAGCCAGCTGATGAGTTTAAGGTTGAAGTACCATTACTCTGTTAGAGCCTGGCTTACTTTTCATCTTAAATACATATACTGACACCTTTATTGACTTCATGTAGGGTACTCTCACTCAGCTGAAGCAGTGAGTGAAAGGACTCTAACTGAATAGCAGAGGACATGTTTTGCAGGCAAGAAGACCCAGTCCCTGACATCTACAGTCTGAAACTCAGGTTGCAGGAGGTAGGAAAGATGGCTTAAGACCTTAGACAGTTGCTACCAATGAAATATAGAAAAGTCTAAACTAGATCCAATATAAAGGCAGCTTTTCATCTTCTCAAATCCATACATCCCCAAAAAGTAATAACTGAAACCATGAAATTATTTTGTGCCACTAAGAGGACAAAGAGCAAGCTTAGCTGAAATGTATAGCTTAAATTTTCTTAGGGATTCTCAGATTACCCTGGTAGGTGTATGTTTTCCCAGCATTTGTAACACCGTAAGTAAATACTAGCCGACTATGTCCCCTTAGGAAATCTAACACAGGCTGCTTCACAGCACGGTCAAAGAGTTCTTCTTGTGTTGTTTTGGGCCCAAATACCTAAGAAATGAACAAGAAGGGTGTTTACATTTTCGATTATAGAAATTATGAAAAGTATATTGAGTCTTCATTTTTAAAAGCTTTTCTGATTACTTAAATAATTTTGTTAATCATGCATAACATTTCCATATTGCTGATAAACAAACTCACTATACCTGGGAAAAAGTAAATTTCTGCACCATTTGACGCAAGTTTTTTTCACTAAGGCGAAACGTCTTGGAACTTTTCGGAGCTTTTAATATAATGCTTGTTGAGTCAACCACAGAAACACACTCCTATAAGAAAAGTGGGGGGAAAGTCCTTTAAAGCCAAGCAGATGGCATAATTTTAATGAAGTTTTGCTTTTAGTTGTTTCAGCTAAGTCATACCTGAGCATCATGTTCTCTTTCCAACTCTAAAAACGGTCTGACCCGAAGGCAAACATGAATTCGTTCTTTGGACTCCAGGCTCTCTCTCTAACAGGAAAAGTGATAAAATTAGTTCTTAATGCCCCTAGGGGGCACATATAACACCGCTGTTGTGCGAGCTGCATTGGTTACCGGTTTGTTTCCGGGCCCAATCCAAGGTGTTGAACATCACCTTTAAAGCCCTTCATGGCATGGGACCAGTTTATCTGAGGAACCGCCTCGCCCTGGTCACTTCAGCCCGCCCCACTCGGTCCAGCAGAAGGGGCAGGTTGCAGACCCCAC